CATATGTATTTCTACATGTAAAATATGAAGTAATCCTTGGTCTGAGATGCCTATGACATTAGCAATTTCACGCTTAGTCAAACTTGGATCTTTACTAACAATGTTATGAACTTTTTCAATGCTTTCTGGTGTGGTTGCGGTTTTTGGTCGTCCTTCACGTGGATCGTCTTCAAGCCTAGTATGACCATGTTTAAATTAATAGATTCATTCAACGGTGCGTTTTCAAGGTGAGGACTCCTTATACATTTCAAACAATTGTACATAAATTTCCTTTGCTTTTAAACCTTTCAAAACAAAGAGTTTAGTCACTGTGTGATATTTAATTTTTTCCATATTAAAAAAATAAGTTGACACGTCAACTTCAAATGGCTTGTAAACAAAGAATTAATTGACATAATGATTTGTAACATTGCATGTGTTCTCAAGGGAGATGTACCAACTTGAGAAAAAAAATTGGAAATAGCACTACTAGGCTATTTCTTGGTGAGACTTGCATATCCGCTGTATGGAAATCGGTTTTAGACCCGTAGTCCCTTAAGCAAAGTTGTTGATCGACCCGCTTTAATATATGTAAGTACTTATACATATGTATGTATATATACATATTATTCAACATTAAGTTGTAGATATATCCTTCGAGAGACAAGGCATTTTCAGGGCATATGTAGCCACTGACACAGCTGCGCTAGGACGCGAACCAGAACGAGAATAGGTTGATGGAGATCGAACTTACTTCACCAGCGTATCTGGGGCAACTGCTGTCTAGGATAGATGGACCTCTCACCCCCTCTCGACTCAGATGGACATGCGCGCACCGCCTAGATGGTTGAAAGTGTCATATATGACACGGCCTTGTCTCTCGAAGGATATATATATTAAGTACTTATATATATGTATGTATATATATATATATTACAACACCAAGTTGTAGATACATAGGTATGTATGGGTCTAAACTGGTGTGGTTGCGATTTTTAAATGAAAAAATCAATAACTTTGAATCGACAAACAAAAATACAGATAACGCAAGTTAGTCCGTTTTGGACGACATTTTTTAAACAAAAATTTGATGTTTCGGATCCTATAGCGATAAAATTTTCAATAGTAATGCAAACCGGGACATACCTATGTATATCCTCTGTTTAAAAATTGCAGGTCCTAGCTTGATGTTCTAATTGGCGGAGAATTGAACATACATGTGTAGGTATCTGCAAACACATACATGAATTTAGTAGACCGAGTACGTATGATATTATATATCCTTCATACAATCATACCAGTATATTCTGAAATCCTTTTTCAAACAATGAGGTTGGTCTGGCCTGCCCAAAAGAAAATAATCTCATCAAAGTGAAGGTATTAGGAGGTAATTTTTGCAACATATGAATGCCAATAAAAGGATATGCATACACCCTCTAAATGGAAAAATCCCTATTTATTGTATTAGACCACTCATCAAATGATGCGTTAAAAGCTATAAGTTACGCGCCACTTGGAAAGCATTGATCAAACACAATGCACGGCGATGATTCAGCTTACAGTCTTCGTACAATAGCAATAATCAATGTTGTCATAATCACAGTTAATATCGGGCGTTAAAATCAGTGTGACGAATCTTTGGCGTATTTCATGCTGGATAGAGGACACAGTTGAAATAGAAAGGGTTAAACAAAGTGTGAAAGCAAGAGTCCGCATGTAATGCGGGTCAAAGATTATACAATGAGTCAATTCCTTTTTCCAATGGCACACTTTACTTAGATAAGTCCCGCAGTTGCTGCTTTACTTATACATCGATTGCCACACAAACTCAATTCATGCATGCAAATTGCATTGCATTTTGTACATATATGTTTGAAATGGCTATGTGAATATATACTATGTTATATATTTGGTTCATATTGGTTGTCATCATTCGCCATAAGTTGGTGACAACTTTCAGCACCCTCACGAAATTCTATTGAATCATGCTAAATGAACATGCACATAGCGCCGCCATACTACGCACTCACGTTATGTCAATTTTTAGTAAGGATTTTAGGCAGCGGCTTATTTTATTGAAGACAACAGATGCCATCAGCCCGTCAGTCATCAGCTGCTGTTCCACTGTTTATAATCTGGCGATAAACCAACCCATTGCCCCGAGCTCACGCAGCAAACGCAATATTGAGCCAATATTTACAACTGACTATGACACATCTTCGCCCTTCTTGCCGCTCCTCCTGCCGTTCAACCACGCAAACTAACACGATTTATCACATAAATAAATATAAACAAATTGGATAGTTGTGGGTGTAAACCTTCTACCTGCTAGCTTCCGTAATCCACAACATTTGTCTACAATACAAACATGCAACCATGTGCCACTAAGCACACAATATATACATATATAATATAAATATAGGTGTATTGGCGCGTACTTGTATGGTAGGTAATTCATTATATGTATTAGTATCTGCAGTAGAATTACCTGTGCATTGGTATGTATGTATAAACGTTCTTACTGACTTAAGGTAGTAATTTTGGTGCCACAAAGAAATACCAGCACATGGAAATTTTACTACCACCAATAGATTGAACCAACCAACCAATCATAGAAAGTTAGGATACTTCGGTTTATTTGAATCCGAAACAAAACAGGCATACGCACCAACTCATTCCAAGGTACCTTACATCCTTTCTACAGCCAGTTTTGTACAAACGTATAAAATTGGAAACTATTGACCAATGGGCGTTACATTTCATGTGCATATATGGTATACAACGGCATGGATGCAGATTTATGTACTTGTGTGGGCGTACAAACACAGTAAAAAATTAAAGTCGTTAGTATACAAAATTCATGTTTTCATAATAATAATAGCTTTTTAGTCACACAATAAAGAAGATACTGTGAGACTAGACAACCCCTCCACTTTTAATTTGTGATTGCACAAATTGACTTGCAATATGTAGTACTTTTCTATTGATTAATATTGTAATCATAGTGACTTCAATGTAACTACAATTTTCCGCTTTAATCTGAGTCAATAATGTTTTGAGCTAATAAAAAATAAGGAAAACATATTTTTGTTCTTTCACATATTATCGTCACCGCCCTTGTCGTTATTGTTGTTTTACCAAATTTAGTCAATCAATCGTTAACCAACGGGCAGGAACATTCGGAATAATATTTTCCTTCATATCAATGACCTTTTTTTATCACCCTCGGCAATAAAGAATAGGGAACAGAAAGCACGCTCGCCACCCTCCCACAAGTGTCAGTAACTCATAACATATCATTAGAAATATACGGAATGTGTAAATATGAATGCTTGTTTGGAAGAAGTGTTAATATAAACGTGTGTGATGCAATTGATTTCTTGACATCCTTACCGGAATCGATTTTGTTATTACTTTATCAGCCAATGAAACCCAATCAGTCAACGGAACTCCGTAGCCAACTTCATAAATAATTAAGTGTTCATCAACACACCATACATATCGTAATTGACAAGTTAGCATTATCTCTTCGAAAATGGGCTTTCGTTCAAGTGCGTATTAGTGTATGGAATACAACTGCACTTTTAAAGCAATGCGCTGTCCTGAATCGACTATGTTTAACAGCCTGACTCGTAGTTTTTGTTTTGTTTGTATGACAAATGAATGGGCAATCCCGTGGTCACAGAATACAGACCGAGGCAAACATATTGTCCCATTCTTGCGATACACTCATGCTTACATATGTTCAATATACGTACTCAGATATACATACCATAATACTAGTATAGTATTTTGCCAAATGGATATTTTTTACGAGACGATAACAGCGTGCAGCCTGCAGCTAAATGAAATAGAAGTAACCCCTACGTTGGGTTTTGTAGCTTGTGGAAATTGAAACCTTTAATAAATACCTCATTGTAGCATGTGTCAAAACGCTCGCATTTACTTGAGCGAGAAACAACATCTAATAACTAAACCCTCTCGCCTGTATTTTTTATTTAATATGAAATGGCTAGATAATCTATGCTTCAACTCAAAAACAAATATTTGTCAATATCGAAAAGCCGTTTTAGCAGCAAATAAAAGAAGTTTTAAGAAATGACTACGCTATATGTTTTTAGTGAATAATTAAGAGGTCTATATCAAAATGAATGATAATTGCAAAACTGTACAACATAATATGGGCATACATACATACATCTGGATAGACTTAGCTAAAACTTAAATGCTAAGAGTGAATAGTTCTATAATTTAGAATAATGTTGCGGATTAAAGTAGCCTCATCCGAGCATATACTAAAATAAAAATACTAATTAATCGTAGCCACCACTGCTGCAATCACGCATATAGTTTTACATCTAACAAACGGAGAAAAAAATATTCAAACATACTTGCTTATATTTGCAAATGTATTAACATCCCCATATATGTATGGCATTTTATCACCCATATGAACATATGTATGTATCTACCAATTTACCTACTTAGCATTTTGCTTATTAAGAATGGGTGGAAGTCATCCTACGAGAGATCGTGCACGTTTTTGGCAAATTAATTGTTTGAGATCTTATGAATTTATTACCATGCGAGATATCCAATCCCTGGTACTCGCATCGCTTTGAACTCATACATATGTATCTACGAATGGGCGCGTACAAATTATTTCCGAACAGTAAGGGGGTGAGTTCGTGAATAATAAATTTTTGCAAGTCTTAACTAAGTTACTTCTGCGACTATTCCTCCTTTAAACCCTATATAAGCTTTTATTATACCTAAGATACGCATCTAAGGCTATTACTTGCAAGCCTAACGAATATTTTGCTTAGTCGCCGGATGTTTTGTTACTCTCTACATATTTAGCCCATTCATCTGCTTACGAAGAGCAAATCAGGACACATTTTATTGGCATTGGCGAATTTCCATGTCATTACTTACATACTAGTAATTAACTCATTCACGTATTACGTCGCCCATATAGATTAATTGAAATAAAACGTTGATACACATTTTTTTTCTTATAGACTCAGATGCCATGGAAACAGACCCGTCGGCACAGGATATGCTTACGTGTGGATCCTGCCAAAAGACTTTTGCTCTTTCTGATATAGTTAAATTTATTCAACATAAAGTGCTGCAATGCAATAAAGAGAACTATGGACAGTGCTCGACTCAGGGTATGTAATACATAATCTACCAATATAAAGTAACATAATATAAAATAATACAGTATGTACAGTAGTACAATCAGCACATATTAATGTTTATGAAAGTTATGTAATAAAGAAATTTAATTTTGTATCTTTTTGGTTAGCTTCTTCGACCGATAGGGATACGGATGATGGCCGACCTTTAAGCTTAGTCAACAGAAGACCCTCGATATCGGCGCCAATAATTAGTCGAAAAACATCTAGGTCTGGATCACGAATACATACACCGCCTCCAAGCCCTGCGGACCTTTTAGCTGATGGCGCGTGCAGTACGCCTAAGCGCTTAGTGGACGGTAAGTTAAAAGATTTTCATCAACACTAAATTTAGATTTATTCCCCTGCTATTCATTACCAGAAAATGATAACACAGCGCCCAGAAATGAAGGATCGGTAGAGAAGAGCGCATCCTTGGAAATCGCAAACAATAACTTAACCGAATCGTATGTAGTAGGTGATTCAGAAAAAGCAAATACTATTACGATAAAGCAGGAACAAGAGCAATGTGCTGAAGTAAGCATAAATATTGCATTGCATGCAAATGATTACAACCAGGACAATAACGGTGGGCAGCCGTTGCCTAAACGCCCTAAAATAGAAGTGGTTGACTCAGAGTCCAACACATTACACACAGGTAAGTAAGCTTAACGCTACCATCCGAAATTATATGTAAAAATGTGTATATATGCACATAATTTAATTACAATTATCCAGCTAAAATAATGCAATCGGTTATGCCACAATCACTTTGGCATATAAGAGAGAGAGAGAGAGGTAGGGAAAGCATATCAGAATTTAATAGTTAAAATTTTTCTGTTCGAACTGGCATCCACTAGACAATAGCATATTCAGCGATTGACTGACAGCGCAATGTATAATTTAAAAAGAATTCCTGACAAAAATGTTTTTGATGTTAAAGATTTATTTGAAATGTCAGCGCAAGAAAAAAGCCATATTCATGTAATATGTCAACCGTAAAACAATAGCCACACATACGAACAAATGCATAGAGGTATGTATGTAGATATAAAAGCACTTCACTCTTGACCTTCGGTTTTCACCCCTCAAAAATGCAGTCAGCATCGAGATCCTGCCAAATAAAAACAGGTAAGCCTGACATCAAAAGCTAATCTGAACTTTTAGGTATGAGTTCAAAACAGATAAGAATTATCTGTAATGGTTATGCCCTCATTGATGACAAAGGGCAGAATTTCGTGGCTTTACTACACGCATTTATGTGTATATGCTTTTATTTGTACTTCTCAATTTGAGTAACCTTTTTCTTTAATTAGTTTTATCTTCGTTTATACAAAGTACAAAAACTTAATTTTTATTCAATATACATACAAATATGCATCAAAATGAATCAGTATGTTTGTAATATATTTATTAATGATTAAAAGTTTATAATACATTGAAGAACATCAGAGTGGAAGCAAGTCAGTTGTTTATTTCAAATATCATTTTATTTTACTTAATGTAACTATTTGAACTTCCTTAGTCATTTCTAGCTGACCCGCGCAATATAGTAGTGGTCAAATCTTTAAACATTTTATTCTCATAATTTAAATTCACAATTGTACACGCATAAACAATTACATAATAAAAGTGGATCCTTTAAGACTTGTTTATTAACAATAGAAGCCAAATTGTTCAAGCGATTCAACAATCTCAATCGTCAAGAAATAAATACATACATATAAGGGTACATACATTGTATTTTCGGGCAATTGGAGTCAAAAGAGCTTATTGCTTACACAAATTGTACAAACATGTGTAAATCAAAAGCCACACATGTTAGCCCTAGCCCTGCCACAGAGTGAATGTGGGTAATTGTACGTGAAAGCATGACGAGTACGCACTGCCGGCCAAAAACAATTTCTGCTTTGTACAAAACACTTGCATATGCATTTACAATGACTTGGTCTTGAGTTTGAGACGAAAGTACAATAGAAGTTCCTTTGTTTTTCCTTACGAAGGACATACTGTTATATTAAAAAGTGGGAAAAGAGTAAGTGTTACTCTTGTTGCTTAAGAATATAAGCAGTCCTAGAGGACCCAAAGATTTTGCTCACAATATGGAGTTGTAAATTTTTGCATTGTTAACCCTCAGTATTCCATTTTTTATATAAGCTGTCTGCAACTTTGCGATGAAACCTTATTACAAGTATTTTATTGCGATGTGTTTTGCAGAAAAAAATATAACTGTGAATATGAATTTAAACCTATCTGAAAATTATAAAACATATCAATATATATCTAATGTCCCCGACGGCGAAAGAAGTTTTCCACTTTGCACATTAAATGTTGCATAATTTCCAAATTTAAAACTATTATGATTCATTAAGTATGTATTATTATCGTTTAGCTATTGTTATCACAATAATATTTTACCAGATGTCAGTTAAAAATGAATTATGCAGGGATGAGCATTTTGCACTATTTATATTTTTAAATATTCATTCCATCCCATTGACATACAATTTTTCATAGAGAGAAATCCAAACAAAATTTCTGCAGTTTTTATTATAAATTTGAAATTATTCAATATTAACTTGAAGTATCAAATGCAATGAACCATAAATCGACATTGAAATAAAAAACAATGAGCTGTGTCCATAAAACATGACGAAATGTTGAATTCGAACCATGCTAAATGATAATGTCCCAAAATTGTAAGCTAAAAAAGCAGTTCATAACCCGTTGATGAAGAGATAAAAGAGCAACAGCACATTTAATCACTGAGTCAAATTTTTTATTAGTATTAGATACTAGTAATATTTGTACGGGTTGAAGTTAATAGAAACATTATTTAGTATTTTTATTGTAGTGAAGAGATTATTACACTAGGTATTTTCATGTTTATTATTATCTGCATGTAGATCCATTTGTTTATATTCTGTCCATTATAAGATCGATAGAATACACAATGAATATGCAATACTCACATCGCTAACAAGAGATATATGAAGCACATATGAAAAATTCGACTAACCCAGTATGTGTCGTGCGCATGCATGTATTTATATACTTACGTATATATATACATATGTTCTATAGTACCAACAACATGCTTAGCAACATAAGGCACCATAAACAATTATCGCATCATGTGGGGGTATAACCCATTCACCAGTTTTTATTCGATTTGCTCGTTGTTCTGCACTGTTATCAAAACTGCAGGCGGTCGGTTGGTCTGTCAATTTGGCATTTCCGTTGCTACTTGCTCTTGAGATGCTTACAATTGAACCGCAGTGACCCCGCTGTTATTGGAATATGGATTAAAGGAGGTAGTTAAGGATATTTTTGTACCATGCATATTCGAAGCCAAATAAGTAAAATTTTGCGATTGTTTTATATTGATAATATACACACGTGTGTATATGACCGGAGAGTATAATAAAACTGTTGACAATTTTTGACAATGCAAATCTAACAAAGAAAACATTATTTTAAAAAAATATTAAAAAGAAAGAGAAAGTTGCGACCATTAATTGTTCGATATTATTATTAAATTAATTTAAAGTACATATATTTATGACGTTCAAACCTAACAAAAATCATTCCAGCATCTTCTATATATGTACATACAGCATCTTCTATACCTATTTCTGTATTACACATCTCACATTTCACATTTTCATTTATTCAGTTGTTATTGCAATAATTTTATTAAACAAAATTATAATCCAGTACAAAAAGTTATTTTTGATGTGTTTAATATGCACCTACATACATACATACTAAATACATACATTTGTGTTTTCATATGAAATATTCAGTTTGAAACCGTATTAACTGATATTTATTCATAGGAATAATGTAGGCGCGTGACACGCTCGCGACTGACAACATACTCAACAATGACTTCGAAGTATAAACAAAAACACGCAAATAAGGGCATACTCAACCACATTAATCTATTTGATAGAAACTTCACCTTTTTCTATATATATTTCCATTTTCGACGAATATGTCGACCTTTTCAAACACTCTTTTTCTTGTAATTTATGCAAAATAAAAAGTGGAAGTGAAGGATTCCCTATAAAAATGAATTTATGTATGTACATTAACATATACACTTAAATGTACATGTGTATATCCAGAAAGGATTCATGCAACCCTTTTTAATTATTGGCGCGGCTGCCGCTCACACTTGTGCAACGACACCTAAACATACTACATACATAAATACCTACCACGAACAGTGTGCGCTCGTATGAACTAGTGCACATTCCCTTCATCATGACATGCGCTCGTTACATTCGATACTCGCGCGATTATGTTTTAGCTGCGATCCGCAGCAATTGTCATCGCTGCAGCCTCATTTGCATTCTGCTACTGCTGTCACTTAAACATACATACGTCTTTTCGTCCATATGTGCATACACTCGAGCCCTAATAAAAGGGGTTTCTGTTAATAAACTAAAGTTACCCGTGTAGGGTACATCTGTTAATAAACTAAAGTTACCCGTGTAGGGTACAGAGGGGCTTCGGGTTTATACCATCATCTCCGGAGATCATGTAACACATTTTTCACCTTTGACATTGTTTATTCATATGATAGCGAAGAATGCCAGAGGATGTCATCTGTAAGAGGAAAAGGAATATTGCCACATTTATGCAAAGGATGCACACATAATTCAAAATATACGTGTAGTACTCTCGCAAACGATGAATGTGATACTTACTATAAACCATTCGAGATGAAAGTATGCATTATTTATACGAATACCTATATGAAACCGCTATTCCCCTTCATGCTTTAGCTATTAGCTAGGAAGTGAATTTTTCACGTGCTTTTGTTTGAATGAAAGTGCTGCGAACAGTTTTATTCCGAAAGGTGATTGGAGATCAATAATTGCTGGGTATGGTCAGTGGCTTTTCGTCGAATTGTCGTTGAGTTATCTGTATGCACAGACCACAAGCGGCTTGACATTTTTTCTTATTATTTCACTATCAGTATAAATGGATAATTTACTTTTTATGTAGCTACACGCATTCTTCAATGGTAGTAGTGCTTCATAGGGATGCTACATAACACTGTAACAAAAAAAACCACAACCGCAAGCACATGTACTAAATAGATTCCGCACAGAGGTGATTTAGCTTAAGACCAAGGGTGAAAATTTTGTGGCATCGCAAATGTGTTACACATGTGAAATTGTCCATTTAATTTTAAACTTCTCCACAGAAGTTTCCTACGGCTGTTATTTCTTACGGAAAACCTTACAGGATGGATTTCCTTCGCCTTTGACATTATACAGTTGAATTTACAATTATTCATTTTTAAGGAACATCTGGCACTGTCATCACCGTTGTGAATTTTAAAAGCATCGATATTACAAAACACATATACACATATTGTCTTGTATTGGTCTTCAGATGAATGTGTGTTGACAATGGATGATGTACACTTGCAAACCAATGGATACCGCAATGTGTCGCACTGATATACCGAAAAAATGCCTCTCGACACACATACACACGCTTCCACAACCACATACACCTATTATGTCTACATACGTGCTTGAGGATATGGCTAACCCATAAAAAGTGAAATAAAAAATTGGAGCAGCCGCAACTAACTGCGGAAAATGTTTTACAAACCGCTCGATTCATCCACTACTTTGTGGTTCGATAACACATTGTACTCTCCTTTGCTAAGAATATATACACATAGTACGTATCTAGATAAGAGGAGTGGATGACATCCGATGAAAAAATACGAGTATCCGATACGTAACATTCGTAATTGGTGATCATTTGTATGCAACAAGCGAGCCACTCTTCTTTGTATGTATTAGAACCGTTGTTTGATAAAAAGTACGGGAGGCTGGCCGCAACTACATACCTAAAACCTCGTTTGCATTTAATATATACTAACAATGCATATATTCACTATGTGCTTACTTATTTCTAATGAATGGTAGGGAAAAACAGAATTTAGAAAATATTGTTTGCAGATATAGATTGCGAAATAAAGCTTATTAGATATAGATGTAAAAGTATGTTGCAATTTCATAACCAAGTTTTAAATACTCTCGTCATGATTAACTACTTTTAGAAAAAATCTTTCCTTCTTTTAATGTAATTTATAATGCTTCAGAAACAGGGTTTTTACTTAAAACCTACACAGTCAGTCTACATATGTAATAAAAAACTCATTGTATTATTTAAAATCTTTTTACTTTGTCTTTTCAGAACCCAGCAATTATACATGTTCCACATGCAAGACTCGTTTCACATCTGCTTGGCGATTAATTCAGCATGTGCAATATTCGCATGACGTTAAGATATATGTAGAACTTCCCACCTCTCTATCTCCCCATTCCGATTCAGTGTCGGATCCTGCGTTGTCAAATTTGCCTTTATCAGCATCTGTGCCTGTATCGGCACCAACAATAATATCAGCGATATCAACTGCACAGCCTTTATCGACTTTACCCTCCGCCACTTCTTCTTTATATCCGCCCGTCAGTCATCAATCACACAAAACTGATAACTCGAGTACAAACTGCAACATTAGTAGCAATAGCAGCGGTAGTGGAACTAACAACGCCTCTACCGGCATACCAGCCCCTACTTGTAGTGGTCATTCAAATGCTGTCCAACAGCAACATCAGCAAATCCAGCAACAGCTTCAACAACATCGAGCAGCAGTTGCTGCTGCTGCAGCAGTTGAACAACATAAGCAACAGCAACAAAGCAATCTTACAACAGCAATGCAGAATGCGCAAAATTTAGCTGCCGCTGCAGCTGCGGGCATTCGGCATCATACGCTGTTGCCACCACCTGACATGCACGCAAATCCATTTAATTTGCTGCGGATGCCTTTACCACCTTCATTGGCACAAAACCCTGCAGTTCCTACTGTCACACCTCTATTTTCGCGACCCCATCCCGACCATTACAGAATGGAACAACTTGTGTCGGAGCAGTTTAGACATCATGGTTTAAATTTAGCAGCAGCTGCTGTAGCGGCAGCAAGTTCACTCTCCACGCCACACTCTGGAGTTTCTCAATTCAGTCAGGGTACTAATGCATCTTCGAGCAACTCTATGGAATCACGACCTCCTTCAAACAGTAATAACCACCGTGGCTCAGGGCCGTCCACACCACTACCACCTCCACCAATAATTATTCCACAACAGAACACCGCTAATCAGGTGGGGTCCCAGACTGGTATAAATCTTGAGCCTCAGATGGATTTTTACTCGCAGCGATTGCGTCAGCTTGCAGGAACAACAAGTCCTGGGGCTGGAAATATTGTTAACTCGAGCTCGCCGAGTCCACGACAAAAGCAATCGCCTCATTTTGCGAGCCCATCACCATCCCAACTACCTCCTACTCCTGTGACAAACAATACGAGACCACATTCACTAACTCCTCCACAAAACAGTGATTCTCTGAAGCAGGAAATCGAAAACATCAATTCTACTCCTCGATCAGCTTCTACACCGCCTTCAAAGCCCAGCCAAGAGAATGCTGCTGTGTTTGCATGCCCGTATTGTGAAAAGAAATTTAGATTTGAAAATAACTTAATAATTCATCAGAGAATACACACCGGAGAAAAGCCATACAAATGCACAGCCTGCGAATTTGAATGTTCTCATATCAATAAACTGATGAAGCATATGAGAATTCATCGCGGCCCAGAAGATAGCGCAAGTAATGCAGGCTCTATAGATTCCAACGATGCTGGTGATTCAGAAGCTGATGCCGATGCTGACGGAGAGGCTGAAGGTGAAGGAGATGCGGAAATCGATGGGGAGGAGGAGAACATTGACGACGACGGGTTGGAAGATGACGAGGAGGACGATGTCGAAGATGGAGAAGATATTGATTATGAAGCGGAAGACCTAAGCGTTAGTAATAGGATCGATATACAGAGTGAAAGCCCAAAGACTAGAAGTACTCGTCCTACATCGCTGGTAGGAGAACTAATGGACAAATTTGGTTTGTCAAATATAGCACAATACTCTGAAGCTTACAAGCAAGCGTTGCAAGAATCTGGAAAATTCAAATATTTAACAAATAAGGATAGAGACAATAACAACTCAAGTAATTCAGCAATATCGCACGTATCCGATAAATTGAATGGCTTCCCAACGGCATTACGCCTGCGAGATGAGCTCTCGAAGAACATGTTTCAGCAATCACCTCAATCTGATGGCCAGAATCAAGTACCGCTATTTAATCCATTTCAAAACCCATTCGAACTATCTAAACGAGTTAAAATGGATGGGAATGACTGGTGGAATATGTCAGCTTTGCATCGGAATGATTCGATTTTCGAGAATCTTAAAATTAAACCATTGGGTCTTGGTACTGCTAACTCGATGCTCCACAATCAAATGTTAAAAAAAGATAATCGACAACGTAATGACACTTGTGAATTCTGTGGTAAAGTTTTTAAAAACTGCTCCAACCTCACCGTTCACCGTCGAAGTCATACGGGAGAAAAACCCTACAAGTGTGAATTGTGTTCCTATGCCTGTGCGCAAAGTTCAAAATTAACACGCCACATGAAAACGCACGGACGCACTGGTAAAGACGTTTATCGTTGTCGTTTCTGTGATATGCCTTTTAGTGTGCCGTCAACACTAGAAAAGCATATGCGCAAATGTGTTGTCAACCAAGGTAAAGCAGCAGCAGCTGCAGCAAACGCTGCCAACGCTGTGGCAGCAGCACAAGCGGCAGCGGCGGCTCAACATCTTCAATCACAATTACCAGCGCAATTATCACCTGCAAACTCACTCTCATCCTTTCCATCACAATATGTTGGCATCACTGGCAGCAACACTGGCAACAATATCTCACTGCCTGGTAGCATTAGTGGCGATAACGATACCAATCTGCCCACAAATCTACCAACACACCACATCTCATTAAAGGAAGAGGCATGACTTTTTCCACCTTGGATTAGAAACACAAGTAGCGGTCCGGATAACTCTATGAACTATAGTTTACATCACCAGCACATACCATCTCGGTTATTACCACCCCTGCCACCAACACAGCAGCATCAACATCTTCCATTCGATTCCCGCCTTCACCCCTATCATACGCAACATGCCATGCCCCCAAACAGCCAGTCTCATCAGTTAACGACGGCAAATCGTATGATGTCCCGCATTTTCTAAAGAGTCTTCAATTGCTTCGATTTCCTTTACATCGAAGCGGCACTGAACTTTTTTGCTTTACGACCACATAGAGTTTTTTCTGAGATACAACCAGAGGCATTCGATACCAAAGCAATAATCTAAATATATGTATATAAATTAAGTATGCAATAAGTCTCTCACATATTTTCATACATACATTCGCTCATATGATCATGCCTAATGCTTACATATGGTATGTATATGGATGTTATCCATTGATTTTTTTGGCCTTACTTGCCTTATCGACTTACTTACATTTAATTTAATTAATATGTGAAATACATTGAAATTATAATAGTTTCTTTTTCCCCAGTGTAAATTTTTTTTCATGCCCAGTGACTTGTACACATTTTTTCCACATGTACATAAATGTATATTTAAAACTAAAAAGAAAATTAAGTAATAAGTTATATTAAAACTATGGCATTTTCTGTTTTTGTTTTTAGAATAATCTACGCAACCTTATACTACCCGAACTATAAAAATTCTTACTTGAAGTTGAATAGATTTTAACAAATTGTGTACTTGTTAATATTTTATTGTGAATTATTAGAAAATATAAATGTATATGAATTTTAAAAATATATAGCACTAAATACAATATGTTCGACTATGAGTTTTCTGTTTTTGATGTCATGAACAATACAAAGCAAATGAAAGACAATGTTCTATAAGTATATCCAAGACTGAAATAATTGCGTGAATATTATAATTTAATAATTTCTTTTCATTATGTGTACAAGTAAGCTCGCCTAAAAATTCGTGTTAAGAAATTACAACTACAAGTATGTACGAATGTATGGTATGTAGCGAATAAGTGACACAATTTTTTTTATATATTTTTATAAAAATTTGTTTTAATCTGCTGATATAATGTTAATTGTTTTATAACCTTTTCCGTTGAAAATTTTTGTTATTGTCGATGATAACACTAGCGGTGTTCTAAATATTGCTTCCGAGCAGATGGTAACATTTTGTGCGCTAATGCTCAGTGGCAAGTTTTTATGGACGAAAGGGATGGATTGAAATCAGCGGTGAATACCACTGTGCTCAATACGCATATGTTCGTGCTTCACCGTTGTTTTAAATGCATCCGAAAATGTTGAAATTGTAACGATTTATATACTTTAAAATGTAGTTCTCTAAATATGTTTCAAGTAATCACTTTTATATTTAATTCTTTTAAATTAATTAGCTAAAGATATTAATTTTAAAACTGATTTCTTGTTCTATCATTTCATAAATAGCCTTTGTTTATGAAAAGCAACATATTTAGATACCACAATATTAATTGAGATCCAGCCCGATTTTTATACTATAATATCCTTCCCAATTCAGATCAGGCATTAAGAAAAAAAAAATTAATTAAATGTTATGTTCTTTTATAGTAATTATAATAAATACGAGTGTTTGTTGCGCGCAAGGGTGTTCATAATATCATATAAAGTATTTATAAAAAAGTAACTTATGCATGTGTCTGTATATGAGTGTATGTGTGCATGTTGAAAAAAGTGCGCACATTTTAGCTAATTATCAATGTCAAATATTTAATACATAATACGATTATGATTTAAAGAAAGTATATTTTATATTTTGCATTAAAAATTATTTCTATTTAATAAATAATAAAACCAAAATAAAAAACTATATAATTTTTACTTATAAATCAATGAGCAAAACAAAAAAAAAAAAAAAATTAAATCACAATAAACAATTGTATACAGATGAACGTTTATATATAAAAATTAATGTAAATATAATATTTCAAATATTTTATATGTGTGTGCAAGGATAAGTTATAGAATTATGTAACGCAGATTGTAAGTTAAAATGAAAATAAAGGTAAAATTGGTAAGATCAAACTTCTACAAACTACTTATATACATTGTGTTCATTCATCCGGTGTTATAATTGATCGAAATAGAGATCGATTTAGACCAGGGTAGATAATTCTTGAAAACAAAAAAAAAATCATAGTAGGACCCAACGTTCTTCAAAATTCTTTATTGTTGTTTTGCGCAGAAGAGAATAAAATTAAATACTAACACTATATACACGTAGATATGTTGAACATTTTTTAACATTTAATGAGGAATTGTTCACAGAGCATTGGACATTTATGAGCTCTTTTACTATCATTTTCGGTTTGAGCAACCCAAAATTAGCTAGAAACAGCTTCTAACATCACAGTCGCAAAGTGGCTGTAAACTAGTGTAGTTAGTGCATTTGACATGATTCTGCTTTCATTTTAAGCTACATACGTTTATTAATTCTAATTTGTTCGGGTTTCTATTAAGTTAAGTTAATAAAATTTTTAGAAGTCAAAAAAATGGAAAAAAAATAATTATCCATGCGGATGGATTGATCATGTGAGAACACTCTGTGCCTATATAAAATTCTGTTCCCAGTAGGACTTACAGGGTGGTGTAATTGTGCCTTCGTTAGATATTGGAATTCTCTGCTATAATGAACGGCGATCTTCGGAACGCCTAAAAGTATGCTATAATTGTATTATAAGCTATAAATATTATATTCAGAGAATGTTAATAAATAGAGAAGGCGCAAATTATAAAAAATACTAATTTGAGATTTTTACAAGAGGGAACATTGAAAAATACAACTTCGACTCGTTTGAAAACCACCACGCAAGGATCGAAACGTGAAAAAGGCTATAATAAATAGACACAAAGAATATTCTTAAATGAAATATGCGCATGCTGATTTACATTTGCATATTACCAAAAAATTATAATTTTTGTAATTTAAAATAATCCCTGTTATTATGAATACACCCGGATAATGTTAATGACTAGAGACAGAGAATGATAATAAATGTTAGTTGTAGTTTTCACAAGAGGGAACATCGAAAAATACCAATTCGAAAAGAAAACTACACTACGCAATGAGGGAAACGGGAAATAGGCTATACATAGTCTCAAAGATGAATTATCGATGCGCATGCTTATTTAGGTTTGTGTTTTCAATTTCGATGATATGACAAAATTAATAATTCTTTTGAATTAAAAAGGAGGATTATGGGTAAAACATCAGAATTTATAATAAAATAAACATTTAATGGACAAATTTGTCAACACATGCAAATGCGTATGTACATATGTGCATTCCGTGAACAATATCTAATATGCAAAGAATAACAATAAAAGAGTGGCTAAAGCGGCTGCGTTCCAACTTTTGAGGTGGCTTAGGTCGTAAGCGTGAAGGAGTTAAGCGCAATGCGAATACGAGCATTTACGTTCGAATTCAGAAAGTCATGAATCTTAAATATAAATTTTCTCTTTATTTTATTAATAAGCAGGTTTCAATTCAATTACTTTACTAACATATCTTACTTACATCGATTTATTTACTTTAATATCATATTTTATTTACTAATATAATTAAAATATTTCAAAAAATTATGGTCATATCTTTATTAAATGTTTCCTTATTTATGCGTATGTACACAAAAAAGACAATCACACATTCATTCATAAATACATGTACGGCAGACGACCGTTATTTAGACAATAGCATGACTTCGCGGCAGCAGGCTTGCAGTTGTCGCTGTCGCCAAATTAAAAATATTTCTAATTTTGCCAACGATAATGGACAGCTCTAATGATGCCACTAATATGTGAAATGTAAACTTATTTAAAGCTCTAACAAGTTTAACGTTATTTTACCAACAGAAACTTAAAATAATTTTGACAGCAAATAAAAATAAGAACCTACATAAATAATTATTATTATTTGCACAAAAAATTTCACTTTGAACAAAAAAAAAAGTGATAAGTTTTAGTTCGGCAACAACGAAGTTGTGTACATCAGCTGTATGATATGTCGCGTGCGGGTCGGAGCTACATTGTGTTGTTGGTAAAAAAAATTAAGTTCTGACAAAACGCTGAAAAAAACATAAATGACAACTTTTCCGGCAAACATACAAGTTAACACAAAAAATATTAATCTTAACATAGTAATATTTATTGCAATAATGTATCAGGATTAATTGCAACAATATAGCAATATTCATTGCTACATTATTAAAGTTCAACAACATTCCGCTCTAACTCACGGAATCGATTTTTCTGCTGACCGTTGAGTATACACAAGCTCTCAGAATCGATCGATATCAACAACGCATAAACTGCAAGTTCTGCTGACTATTGATTATCCGCTCAACTCTGCCGCCAATAATTCCAACCGCTGCCGTTGACCACTGCTAGTTTAGGTCAAAATTTTGTACTCAATAAAGGAAACACACGATTTCTTTAAAATTAACTGCCGCCCGACTATAATAGATATGTGGAACAATTTCCCAGCCCCACGCACTAGCCCTTGCCATTTTCCGACCCCCAATAATCTACATTTTCAGGCTAGACCATTCCTTCCACCACACTGCCAAATCCAATTATGAATCTCAGACAACCAAATAACTTTCTCAAACAGCCACAACAAAGGCCTTAGGCGCCATTATTGACACCGACGAAGGAGTAATGTTTCTGAGAAATGGAAAGAAAATTCCAATAAAAAATAAAAAATTCGATTCGGTAAACATAATTTTACCAAGAGTCGATAGCCTTATCCAAATTTAGCTAACAAAACTAAACCAATTACTAAAACAATCCTTCAACCTTTTCACGGAACCCAATGAAAAACTGACCTGACAAATATTAAAAAATACAGAATGGTCATTGATTATAGAAAATTGAATAGTGTTCTAGACATTACGAACATACCATTACAATCTATAAAGTAATAGGGAAATTACAGACGTCATCCATAAAATTAATTCACTTAATAGATTTTCAGCAAATAAAAATCGAACTCCTAAAAATCCGTGAGCACGCCATTAAAGATCTTAAAACAAGTTATCTCTTTCATACTCTAACTCATGAATTAGTACAATCTGTCTCTCCATTAAACACACTCACTTTCCAAGACCGCCAAATAGATCAATAAATTGTCAACCTGGAAATACGTTGCAGGAAATGTAGGTTATGATGATCTGTTAGTGATACAAAACAATCTCAATTCTTATTACAAACAATAATGATCAGGTCATTATAAATAAACAACTACAGAACATAATTAACGATATAACTACAATCTAAAATATGTTAAAAAAATACGGTCAGGAAAGATAATTTATTGAATAATGAAATAGCAACAAGTCTCCAAAATCAAGTATGACTAATAAAAAAGAACTAAATATAATAAATACTTTATTTTCAAACAAAATAAAACTACAAGAAGTCCGTAAAATTAAAAAAAAAATATATATAACAACTATATCATTTGAAATAATGTTAGAGCTTGTTAGAACATGAAATATTTTTGTCCAAAGATTCCATGTTACACATGCTGACTATTTAATATCCGCTCAACTCTGTCGCCAATAATTTCGACGCCGCTGTCATTCGTCCACAGCTAATTTAGGATAAATTTAAGAAACCGTTTTGCACTCAATAAAGGAAAACACATTTCCTTTAAAATTAACTTAAATACGAGCTCGCATACATATTGACGCCGAAATGTGCACATCGTCGCGGATTTGACAAAATTTGCTTTAATCGACAATCTGGCGACCTTGACGTCTATATTGTCACGTTTGTCCTTTTTGCAGTACTTTTTTGATCGAAAAATTACTTATGCTGCTTTTGAAGTAATGCGTTTATCGATTGGGCTGCATTTTCATAGCGTCGAATTTAGATAAAATGGGCTAAGCCGAAAATCTATGACATTATGATAAAAAGTGAACATACAAATCTTATGTGGAGTGTGCTTAGAACTTATAGAGGTAATTAGAGATTTTAGCTGAATTTTAATTGTACAGAAATTGTACCATATAAGTATAGTAAAATATATGAAAAATTAAAATCAATATGTTGTGAGTCGGCATGGGCTACGTTGCCACTTTTCTTTACTGAAGTGAACATCAGAAAACTCTTCAATTTTTTATTTCTAGCAGCAGCTTATGAGCAACATGAAAATGCGTTGAATGTAGGATTGTCAGTTGTTCTAGAATAGAAATTACGACTGGTATGTTCAGGTTTACTGAAATCCTAGATGTACCTATATTTACTGAGCTATAATCAGAGAATGTTAATGAATAGAGAAGGTGCAAATGTTTGCTGTACTAAAACGTAAATTATTATAATATAAGGGTACATCGAAAATGGGCAATTCGATTATAAAGAAATTTTAATAACGAAGCACTGCAAAAAAGACAAACCGCAGAACATAACCGAAGTGGTCGAAAATTGGGGAGTAAAACAAAATTTGTCAACTTTATGTTTCCCGCAAAGCTAATATTTGGGTTTTTTACAACGTTTATACTATTAACACTAGCGATTGATTTCTACGGTTGAATACAAACAAGCATTTAAAAACACACTAATTCATACTAATTTAAAACTTTTTCCACATAAAATTAATTAATAAAAGAAATTTCTGAAACAATTTTGTGTCAATGGACCTTTTGAGCACTTCTTACTGGCGATAATTAAACTTGTTTCGTTCTAGCATAAAAGCAAAGAAGCTTGCAACATTGGCCTTTTTCGGTAATACAGTAAATACTGTCAGCACTGCTGATTTTGTGCTGGCTGATGTCCTTGCATGAAACTGTTAAAAAGTGCGCATTTGAAAATTTGCATTTTCAAATATACAAATGTGCGAAATATTTCTAAATAATACTCTCACTAACGAGTTAGACAGCAAAAACTATTGATTTTTATTAGAAAGTTACAAAAAGAGAATGAATCGTGTAAAAAAAAGGAATTTACTAATTACGAATAGCTTTAAAGTCAACCGTATTATTCCAAAAGTGATAGCTTTAGTGCACTTGACGCAATCTCTTTCTCCTATATACTATAAAA